AATATTAATCATACCATTAATTAATTATTTCCAAATAAATAATTAATCTAATATTATTAAATTTGGCCAAAATTAATTAATTTCTGATGATAAATATACTAGTAAGAATTTGGATCAAAAATATTTTAAAATTTACCAACCATTATCTTTTTTTGAAGAAAAAAAAGGTAATAAACAGTAGGAATTTGTGTAATGTTACAAAAGTAAAGTTTTTTAGCAACGGGTAAGTTTTATTATATAATCTCTAAAAGTAGTATACTAACACCCAAATTTTGCATCAATACAAAGTTAGTTGCAAGTTTTAAGTTTAGAGCGAATATTTTTTGTATGAATAATATTAATAAAGTAAAATTATAAAAATTTATTAAAAAAAAGATAACAAATTAATAAAAAAAATTAATTACACGATAGTTAACTTTGTATAAAAAATAGTAGAATTACAAATAATTGAAAATATTATAATTATTTAACTATCATTAATAAAAAAACACACCACTATTAAGTCACACCACTATTAAGTTTTACTTTAAAAGATCATTTTTGATTTCCCACAATTATTTCATTAATAAAATTTATTATCGTAAAAAATAATATATTAAAATTGAAGAAACTTTTTAAATTAAATGCAAACATTATTATATTCTATCAATCAATATAACTGTAACTGCTTTTTTTACATAGATATTACATAGATTATTTCATGAACACTTGATAATTTTCATCCAGTCACTATGGTAGAAAAGAAGGTAAGGGTACGGACGTAGGGTCTAGACCAGGAGCAGGGGCTGGTCGGCTTGGTTGTGGTAATGCAACAGCATTTAACGATACACTAATAAATAAGACAGCCAGTGCCATAAGATGAGGGAAAAGATTCATTTTTTTTTTATTTTTTAAAAAAAAAAGTTGTGACTTTGTGAAGTAAAAAAATTTGATATTCTTTAAATAAAAAGAAAAATAAAATTATTTTTAAATATTTTTTTTTTGAATTTTTGTAAAATTTCTTTTCACACTTTTCGTTATTTTTATAGAAAAAATAAAAAAAAAAATTTTTATGGAATAAATTGGATATATATAGATTTAAGTTATAACTGCAAAAACTGCGGGAATGTAGCACAAATTACTAATTATAAACTTGAATAGAAAAGTCATAATTCTTTAATGCTTTACAATTACGAAAAGATCGTACGGCCTGAATCAAAATTAATATAAAAATAGAAAACGCCTTCTAAATAACAATAAAAAATTATTATTAGAATTTATGTTAAACCAATTTCTAATAAAAATAATCCAAATTGGAACAATGATGTTTCACTTTACAGTAAAAATGTCAAATCAGGCTGAAACTGTGGAACTTTGATCAACATTCATTTAACTTTATTTACTTAAATAGTAAAGTAAAATAGTAAAATGGATTTTCTTCCCCTGAAAATATTTTCGGCGTAATCGGATATTACTTGTATTTGAATAGGACAATCATTACGTAGCTTGTGGAAAAAAGTTGTAAAAAAAAAGGTATGAAAAATAAATCACGTGAATAAATAACGAAAATTTGTCATTCTAATTAAATAATTAAAATTAACTTCTTTAAAGGACAAAAATAAATGACAAAAAAATGAAAAGAATAATAATAAATTGTACGGATGAGTTTCATGATATGAAGTACAAAATAAATGAATATAAACAATCGGGATTAACAATCTTTTCCTTAAAATCCTAAAAAGTCCAACTCTTTAAGCAAAAGATTTTGTAGATTTGTGAAACAAATAATTTGCACCAATGCACCAGTAATGAAACGACAAGAAAGAGGAATAATGAATTATCTTTTAATATCCTTTAATAACCCTTGGTAACCCCTTGTGAGTCCTGGTGGGTGGTATTATAGTATTGTGGTAACCATGAGTGGTGAATATCCCATTCTTGTTCATTTTAATCATGAAACTTTCAAATGTTGAAATAATTGCAACTATGAACAAAATTTTCATATTATTGTTCACTACAATTTGGAAATATTATACTTATGATACATTCTTGTTTCAAATAGAACGCATATCAAAAGTCTTAGTCCTTATGGTTCAATAATTAAAAAGTACAAATAATAAAGGTATTTCATATGAATTTTCCATTTGTTTCAACAAAAAGATAAAAAAAAAAAAAAAAAAAAAAAAAAA